GGCGGCGATACTAAAGACAGCCCTAGAATAGTAGGTCTACATCAAGCCTTTACTTGTTTAATTAGCGACATAAAATAAAGGCCTTTTTTTTTTCAAATAATATATTTTGATTGAAAAAGCAAGGAAGAGAAGTAAAACTAGAGCATTGGAGATAGACATTAGAGTTAAAAAGTTTCTTCTCGACTGGGAGTACGACAAGGTCCGTGTTTCATAATTTTAACAAGACATTGGTAAATAACTTCGACATAAAAATGGGAGATGTCATACCATAAGCTTCTTACTTTATGTACCTTGAATTAATAATACAAAATGATGGGTAAATTAATAATGTCATTCAGAGGATACAAGTTGGATGGCTAAAATGGAGAAAGGCTTTTGAGAGTTAATTGAGAAGTACTTAAAAATCTCAAAGTTCTAAAATACTGTTATACGATCATCTATACTCTACTAAGAGTGTTCATCAACCAATCCAATACAACATTGTGGTAATCAGACTGAAATGAAAAAAAAAAGGGGAAAAAACGTCTCTTTTCATGAGATTATTATGAACTAACGTCTATTTTTATGTATTAACTAGGACTTGTCAACTATGGTATATTTTATTAAGAGATTATGTTTAACCTAAAATTTGAACTGTGTTGTGAATTACATGATATGTGTTATTTGATGTAGGATTAATTTGTGCATTTCAATACTGCATCATTTATTTCAATATTTCTAAACTCTTTCAAAAATCCAAACACCAATGCAGTCTAACTCATAATAAATTGGATTGGATTGAAATGAACTTTACAATCAAGGTCTAAAATCAACCGGATGATCAAATCACAAAAACTAAGGTCATTAGAAAATATATTTTTCCTTCAAAATCAATTCAAATCCAATCCACAAACACCCCACACTCTACAGTATATTGGGAATTAAAAAAATCATGAGAAAAAGAGCAGCAAAATTAGCGTGTTAAGATTTTTGTGGACAGATACAAAATGATTATCGTTCTAACCAAGTGATATGAAGATCCCCTAATCTAGAACATTCAGTATCAATGTCTTGTCTTTCTATGGCTTGTCTTCTGTATTTATAGCGAGTTTTGTCCCTTGAGTTGCAACTCGGTTTCTACAATCATTGGCTGGTCATTCTTGATTTTACTCTAATTATCTTATTATGTTCCTTATTACGTTTTATTTAATTATACTGTCAAGATATACTATCTATGACCTGGATAGTAACCCGTATTATAAAATAAATCAACATCTATTACTAGATCTCGCCTTTTGGATATTAAGGGAAAGGTCGGCAGGAAGATATATCAGCACAATTATATACAAGGAGATATTGACGTATCACTTATCCAAGAAAAGATGATAAGAAAATTGGTTAAGATAGTTTAGACGTATACAAAAAAACTACTGAGGACACTGGTCAGCAGATTATAGAGAATATTATTAACCCTATAGATGGAGACTCAAAAGAATATTGGAAGACATTATGAAAAGAGATCCCATGGTGAATAAAATCCCCCAAAACTTTGACATTTTTAATTGAGCCTAATGATGTTGTGTTTCATGTAGCCAATTTCACATAGTAAGATAAAACTATTGTTGGCCACTCTACTGTTATCTGGGTGAATAACTACATCAATGAAATAACTAGTTCCAATTATACTATCAACTTAATGTGTGAAACTTGGTTAAGAAAACAATGTTCAGAATTTGCTAGGGGATGCGTGAAACTTGGTTAAAAAACAATTTTCAAAATTTGTGAGGGGAGAGGTAGAGGGACCAATTTCCACTTATTCCTTTCCTAATTCATTATTCAATTGTTTCTAGCTAGAAATTGAGACATTCACTGTTAGTGTCATCACGTAAGTGGGACTTTCTTATCAAGTGATAGAAGTCCGTGCCCTAGTAATCGAGAGAGGAGTATAAACAAGAGGAAATGCCATAAAATTATAACGAACCATGTTAGAGCCATACCTTTGTCACACAATAGTACGTGTTTCCAGACTGCCATATTCTTCGAGCAATAATATATTCTCTATCACTACAGAAGAAGGGGAACTACAGACAAAAGGAGTACATAAAGAATCAGTGAACCGTAAGATTGAACAAAATTAAAATACAAGTCTTTAAGATATCTTTGGGGTAAATACCTTTTTAATCCAGTGAGAGATCATTGTCCCGTTATGAGGGCATTCCTCCAATACTTTGCAGTATGCAAGCATAGGGTCCCATTTAGGACGGAAGTCATCGTCCCAGAAGAAATCCCTCACTAACTCTGGGGTTGCATCTTCAAAGACGGTTCTGCTACGGTAAACTGTGGGACCTGTCTGTTAACAGATCCAGATACAACATGAGACGCTGATCTATTTATAAGGTGGAAGTGGAAATACAAAAGGAAATAATCATCGAATATAGATCGTGAGGATGTATTTTTCATTTGGGTGGGGAACATAGAATAGGAAAAGTTGATTACATAAATATACTTTAACTACAGGGTAAACATGCCTCTGATTGAAAAATATACAAACTCATGAGTAATGCAAGATGTGTATGATTTTTGCCAGTTTATAATGTATAGACAGTTGAAATGAGATGAAAATTGAACCTCGGAATCTACCTCAGGATCATGACGCCAAGCTTTGTATTGCATTTTCGGTGTTGACCTCTCCATAAAACATTGCCGGTCCATCAATCCATCTTTCCCTTCGAGAAGATGAAGAAAATGCTCCAAATCAGCCTGCGTAACAGTGTCCTGCCCACTCTCCTCAGCCCAATCACCGGACCTAATGATTGTGCATTGACCAATTTGCCAAATAAATAATAAAGCGATTAATTCTTCTACCAACACAGCACAATAAAACACAAAATCTGATAGCCAGTAGTAAGAAATTACGACGGTAATAATTAAACACCAATCCACAAATGTTATCATTACCGAGTGGTGCGGTCCATGGCGTTGGAGTCGGCAATATCAGATTGCGAGGGCGAGGGATCTTCAGCTTTTGCCTTGGCCTTGCCTTTGAAATTGGTCCAATAGGTACGGCAAATGGAGAAGGCGGAGACGGCGGTGAAGGCGAACCAGAGGCGGCGAGCGCCGAACCCCGGCGGCGCCGTCCAGAGAAATCGAAACTTGCTTCGGAGGCCGAGAAAGAGGAGCCCCGTCCATCGCGGACGCCACGACCACCCGATCACCAGGCCGATCATGACAGCCAACCAAATCGGAACCGCGCATAGCAAAATGTCGACGAATGTCTCCGTTATCGAGGGTTTCTTCAGAAACTCCACCATGTCAAAGAAAGAATCCTCCATTTTCCACAGAAAATGAAAGATCCCTCTCTCTCTCTCTCTATCTCTCCTCTTTATCTATCTCTATCTCTCTCCTCGCTTTTCTTGGTGTTTTGTAGCAATTAACAATCGAATCAGAAGATGAAGGAAACCCTGTTGCAGCGGACACAACCAACGAGTTCGCCCTCTTCCATCTTCAACAACCAAAACGCCAACAGGATAACCTTTCTTTTCCTTTTCCCCTCTTTCCTAACTCAGAGAAACTCGCCACGTGTCAACCCCAACTGCCGTCGATTTATTTCCATTAAATATTAGAAAGATTTGTCAGGTTCGACGGTTCAAGTTCTCCGATTAAATCCAAACCAAATGCCGCGTAATTTTGTTCAAGACAACCCCTTATCATCGTCAATTCGACGTGCTTTTCATTGGTGCCATAGCTACAAAATTAACCACTATTTTTTTTTTTTCAAAATTACATTTCAATTATTATTTGATTAGAGCTGTATTTTATAAGCGTAAATTTGCAATATTTTTTCATTTTATAATTTATTTAATATCATCTTTAAAAAAAAAACAAAAGTCAAACCCTAATTTACCGCAACACAGTCTCATCCTCTAATAATCTGTTCTTTAATAGGTTTTGTAATAAAGTCTACGAGAAAATAGTTGATAACGTGATAATTATTTAATTAATATTAACACAAGTAAAAGGTCGTGTAAATTTGTTGAAGATCATATATTTTTTGTAATTTACTCTACTTTGCTTAAAAAATAATTATGTCAAAACTGGTCTTGTAAGCATAAGAGAAAAAAAGGATTAAAAAAAGCATCTTAAATGATATTAAAATTAGGCATGACAGCTAACTAGTTAGGTATGCTTTTCATTATCTTATCTTTACTTTTAATGGATATAGAATTTTGTTCCCATTTATCAACTATTTTATATATTAATTAAATATATTTATTTTTAAAAAAATCCCGACAAATAAATTATCTTAGCAAGTATTAGATTTTTTATTTTTAATATAACAAAAAAAACTATAATTCTATAAATATCAAATGAAAATAAATATAATTAACTAATTATATAAAATATTAGATGTCGGACTAAATAATAAATTACGAAACTAAAACATAAATAAAATTTCATAGTATTCTTTTATTATATGTATAAATAGATAATGATTTCACAACATATTTTAACAATAATTTGACAAGAGTCACGTGTCAAAATTATAGTAATTCACAAAAAAAAGTTAGAAAATAGAAAATGACGAAAAAATAAAGTGGTGTAGGATTTGAAGTGGAGGAATTCATTTTGTAATTTTGAAAATAAAACCCCTCTACTTGAAACCTTGTATTTCATTTTCACGTTTTTTCAAATTATTTTCCATGTAAATCACTTACTTTTAAAACATGGCCGTATAAAAATATTATTAAAATAAATTGTGAAATAAATTGTGAAAGTATCATTATCTATATATATTTAAAAAATTAAATATTATTTATACTTACGTATAATAAAAAACTTCAAATCAAGTTAACAGTAATTTAGATGAGTATAAATTAATTTTACTCCACCAAGGGGTAGAGGAGTAATTACACCCAGAGAGTACAAACAAAAGCGGTCACGTGTCCTTTTGGGTTTGGTTAAGAACTCCTATAAAAGCGTCTCCTTCACCGGATATTACATCCATTTCTATTTCGTGTTGAAGAAGGTTCTCAGTGATAGTAACGTACTGCAAAATCGGCGCGCGAGAGAGATGGCAGTAGAGATAACCGACGGTGCTCCAAAGAACAAGAACGCCAATGCTAACGGCGTCAAAGACAAAGGCAAGAAGATAATCCGAATTCAGGTTTCCAAAACTAAGAAACCTTTCTTCTTCTACCTCAATCTTGCCAAGGTATCACTCTCTTTCTCCTTCGTTCTTTCTATCGACATTTTGAAGGTAGTTTTGTGGATTGTGGAAATTGGCTTCAAATGGCTTCTTTTATCAATCTTGTGTTTCTTTCTGATGATGCAGAAGTACATAAAGCAGGACAATGATGTTGAGCTCTGTGCACTGGGCATGGGTAAACCCTCAATTTAGCCCTTCTTGATGAATAGATTTTGGCTATTACTTCTGTGATTAGGTTCTATATTTTAATTGAAACTAATCACACCAATGTTAAAGTTGTACTTACGAATTTTGCATTATTTTCTTGTTTTTCTAACCTTTTCTTGAATTGAATCCCAGCTATTCCAACTGTTGTGATCATCTCTGAGATTTTGAAAAGTAACGGGTGGGCAATTGAGAAAAGTAAGATGAATCTTGTCCTTACGAAGCTTGCCTAAAGCCAAAGGTTTTATTCTGAGTTTGACTTGTGTATGTGACGCAGATATCATGACATCAACGGTTATTTCCAATGGAGAGAAAGAAGGTCGGGGGATTCCGAAGGCTAAGGTGGGTTTTTCCTTATCGTCACTCAATCTTTCAGTTTGCTACAACTATTTTTAATTAATGGATGGATATGGCCATAGTATAACCTCATTTCTTCACACAGCTTGGGATTTTGCTGGGAAAGGCTACAGATATGGAACATAACACTGTTGAGAATCAAAGCACTGTTGATACTAAGGCATAACGGTTAGAGTAGTTTGACCAAAGGCCATCACCATTTGACTCTTGTAAAACGTGTTCCTTGTATAGATCATCATATGGTTTGCCCTTTGTTTTCTCCAGCATTAATTTCTTTTAATGGCTAATGACTGCTTGAGTCCATAATAAAATAATTAACTGCCTAAGGTCATATGCAGTACGACAATTTTTTTTCATTATTTAAATTGTGATGACGATAGTCTGATTTATTTTTGACAAATAATTATGATTTTGGTATGCTTATTAGATATTGTAAAATTAAAACTAAATGTATATATTCATTATTTAAAGTGGGGAATTACTAAATATATGGTAGAAAATAAATTATACTTTTACATAGTTTATTAAATAAAAAGATTTTTTATTTATTAAAAAATAAAATTTATGTAATAAAAAGATAACATCCATTATAGATAAATAGAAAATAAAATTGTATATTGAAGTATTTGAAGTATAAAGAAAATAAAATCTGAACGGAATAAAAGGGTGACTATAGAAAGCATAGAGAATCTATCCATCGTATTAAGGTAGGTTGCAGTGACAGAGGTGCAAAGCAATGGATCCGCTGTCGGCTCTTCGGGAGTTTACGATGAGAGGGGAGGTGGAGAAGATAGTGCGTGTCAATGGTGAGTTCAGATTTGGGGAGGAGTACACCTTCCCCTGCTGGGTGGAGACAGCTTATCGTTCCACAAAGGGCAACCGGTACACTCTGGAAACCCTAGTCCACTACATCAAGAACCACCACCTCAAGCACACCGAGTACATCCAGAACACCTTCGCCGTTGGCATCCCCTCCGTTACCCTCCCCGACCGCAAACCCCTTCTCCAGTACCTCCAGGGCACCCTCACCTCAACTGATTCCATCGAGTACCGTCCTGAGGACCCCTCCTTCGCCCCCAAATCCACCCTCCCTTCGCAGACCCAGGCCCACCCCCAGCCCCAGGAACAGCCCGACAAATTAGACCTCATCTCTCTCATCACTTCCGCCGAGAGGCCCTTGAAGGACCGCCAATCCCTCCTCGAGTGCAAGAATCGCGATTTCTACAGCGTCCTCGTCTCCGCCACCAAGCGTGAGGAGGACCGCCAGAGGATGGAATCGCAGCAGAGGAAGGACGGCCTCGTCGCCAAGAGTCGCTTGATGGCCGCCGATGACAGGGGTTTAGGGTTTTCCGACGACATGGGCGGGTACGATCCCACCCCAAAGCCCAAGATGCTCTTGAAGGGCACCAAAATTGGAGAAGGCGTACCCATTATCTTGGTCCCCAGTGCCTTTCAGACCCTTATCACTATCTACAATGTGAAGGAGTTCTTGGAGGACGGTGTTTATATACCCACTGATGTGAAGGTGAAGCAGATGAAAGGTGCCAGGCCCGATTGCGTCACTGTCCAGAAGAAGCTCAGTAGGGATAGGGTTGTAACCGCTTATGAAGTGAGGGATAAGCCTTCTTCTCTTAAACCCGACGACTGGGATCGGGTCGTTGCTGTTTTCGTGTTGGGCAAGGAGTGGCAGTTTAAGGACTGGCCTTTCAAGGACCATGTTGAAATTTTCAACAAAAGTAAGTCAACTCCACTCCTTCTGTATATTATACCAATGCCAATCAGTGCTTCTCTTTGATTGTAAGTGAGTAACCCTTTTTTATTCATTTTTTCTAGCAGTTATTGGATTTTACATGCGATTTGAAGATGATAGTTTGGAGTCAGCAAAGAATGTCAAGCAGTGGAATGTCAAGATTATCTCGGTGGGTTCTTTTTCTATTATATCAATCAAGTGCTTTGCTGTATTCCTGTATTTTCACCTATTGAACTTGTAGATTAACATGTGTCTAACTTGTTGCCATTTGCAGATTAGTAAGAATAAACGACATCAAGACAGGGCGGCTGCATTGGACGTGTGGGAAAGACTAGAAGAATTTGTTCGCGCACGATCACGTTCTTGATTTTTGTACCATATTTAGAGTTCATGTACGTACATAGTTTTGATTTGAAGTTCCTTAGGACCGCAATACTGCACTTCTTGTCATATTGATGTTTTGTCAGATTATGAGATAAGTATTTATAATAACTTCCCTTGTNCTCTGAGATTTTGAAAAGTAACGGGTGGGCAATTGAGAAAAGTAAGATGAATCTTGTCCTTACGAAGCTTGCCGAAAGCCAAAGGTTTTATTCTGAGTTTGACTTGTGTATGTGACGCAGATATCATGACATCAACGGTTATTTCCAAGGGAGAGAAAGAAGGTCGGGGGATTCCGAAGGCTAAGGTGGGTTTTTCCTTATCGTCACTCAATCTTTCAGTTTGCTACAACTATTTTTAATTAATGGATGGATATGGCCATAGTATAACCTCATTTCTTCACACAGCTTGGGATTTTGCTGGGAAAGGCTACAGATATGGAACATAACACTGTTGAGAATCAAAGCACTGTTGATACTAAGGCATAACGGTTAGAGTAGTTTGACCAAAGGCCATCACCATTTGACTCTTGTAAAACGTGTTCCTTGTATAGATCATCATATGGTTTGCCCTTTGTTTTCTCCAGCATTAATTTCTTTTAATGGCTAATGACTGCTTGAGTCCATAATAAAATAATTAACTGCCTAAGGTCATATGCAGTACGACAATTTTTTTTCATTATTTAAATTGTGATGACGATAGTCTGATTTATTTTTGACAAATAATTATGATTTAGGTATGCTTATTAGATATTGTAAAATTAAAACTAAATGTATATATTCATTATTTAAAGTGGGGAATTACTAAATATATGGAAGAAAATAAATTATACTTTTACATAGTTTATTAAATAAAAAGATTTTTTATTTATTAAAAAATAAAATTTATGTAATAAAAAGATAACATCCATTATAGATAAATAGAAAATAAAATTGTATATTGAAGTATTTGAAGTATAAAGAAAATAAAATCTGAACGGAATAAAAGGGTGACTATAGAAAGCATAGAGAATCTATCCATCGTATTAAGGTAGGTTGCAGTGACAGAGGTGCAAAGCAATGGATCCGCTGTCGGCTCTTCGGGAGTTTACGATGAGAGGGGAGGTGGAGAAGATAGTGCGTGTCAATGGTGAGTTCAGATTTGGGGAGGAGTACACCTTCCCCTGCTGGGTGGAGACAGCTTATCGTTCCACAAAGGGCAACCGGTACACTCTGGAAACCCTAGTCCACTACATCAAGAACCACCACCTCAAGCACACCGAGTACATCCAGAACACCTTCGCCGTTGGCATCCCCTCCGTTACCCTCCCCGACCGCAAACCCCTTCTCCAGTACCTCCAGGGCACCCTCACCTCAACTGATTCCATCGAGTACCGTCCTGAGGACCCCTCCTTCGCCCCCAAATCCACCCTCCCTTCGCAGACCCAGGCCCACCCCCAGCCCCAGGAACAGCCCGACAAATTAGACCTCATCTCTCTCATCACTTCCGCCGAGAGGCCCTTGAAGGACCGCCAATCCCTCCTCGAGTGCAAGAATCGCGATTTCTACAGCGTCCTCGTCTCCGCCACCAAGCGTGAGGAGGACCGCCAGAGGATGGAATCGCAGCAGAGGAAGGACGGCCTCGTCGCCAAGAGTCGCTTGATGGCCGCCGATGACAGGGGTTTAGGGTTTTCCGACGACATGGGCGGGTACGATCCCACCCCAAAGCCCAAGATGCTCTTGAAGGGCACCAAAATTGGAGAAGGCGTACCCATTATCTTGGTCCCCAGTGCCTTTCAGACCCTTATCACTATCTACAATGTGAAGGAGTTCTTGGAGGACGGTGTTTATATACCCACTGATGTGAAGGTGAAGCAGATGAAAGGTGCCAGGCCCGATTGCGTCACTGTCCAGAAGAAGCTCAGTAGGGATAGGGTTGTAACCGCTTATGAAGTGAGGGATAAGCCTTCTTCTCTTAAACCCGACGACTGGGATCGGGTCGTTGCTGTTTTCGTGTTGGGCAAGGAGTGGCAGTTTAAGGACTGGCCTTTCAAGGACCATGTTGAAATTTTCAACAAAAGTAAGTCAACTCCACTCCTTCTGTATATTATACCAATGCCAATCAGTGCTTCTCTTTGATTGTAAGTGAGTAACCCTTTTTTATTCATTCTTTCTAGCAGTTATTGGATTTTACATGCGATTTGAAGATGATAGTTTGGAGTCAGCAAAGAATGTCAAGCAGTGGAATGTCAAGATTATCTCGGTGGGTTCTTCTTCTATTATATCAATCAAGTGCTTTGCTGTATTCCTGTATTTTCACCTATTGAACTTGTAGATTAACATGTGTCTAACTTGTTGCCATTTGCAGATTAGTAAGAATAAACGACATCAAGACAGGGCGGCTGCATTGGACGTGTGGGAAAGACTAGAAGAATTTGTTCGCGCACGATCACGTTCTTGATTTTTGTACCATATTTAGAGTTCATGTACGTACATAGTTTTGATTTGAAGTTCCTTAGGACCGCAATACTGCACTTCTTGTCATATTGATGTTTTGTCAGATTATGAGATAAGTATTTATAATAACTTCCCTTGTATAATGGATGGAAATCTTACACCTGCAATGAACTTTTACAAATTCATTTGTGAAATTTATACTCAAGTTCTTGTCCATATAAGGTTAATTTCTGTGCTTATTTGGGAACATATAGCCATGGAAGTATTTTTATTTCTTGTCACACTTTCCATATCAGGAATTACCAGACGTGGAGATTGAGTTGCAGAGTTATAGATTGTTATTCATTTGTTTAGTTATCTTGTCACACTCAAGTTAGACATTTAATATTTACAATGGGTCTGGGGAACGGTTGAAACTTAAGCCCGCCTTAGGTTCAATCCAACACTGATCTTCTCTGTTTAATACCTTGGAAAGTGCAAATGACAAATTTGTCGTTTGAAACAGTAATCCAAACACACTAATAGTTATCTCCATCAAATGTGGTTATCTTAACCTCCCTACTTGTTTTCCACATTCATGTGGTTCATGACATGCTCCCTATTTGTTCATCTGTTCTGCTGTGCCTGTTTGGATGTCGTGGTAGTCTGTCAATGCATCAGGTTTTGTAATCTATGAGACTCTGACACACTCTTCAATGTCCTTGGTTCCCAAAACTGAGCAAAACAGATTCGAAAGCCCCAATCTTTGGTTCTCGATTCCTCTGATACCATATTGAGATTAAAAACAGAGATAAGTGGATCTATATTAGATGCCTTGAATTGGTTTAGAATAGCTTAATACACCTCTGATCTTCATGTTACATTTATAGGGAACTATAATGCAACCAGCTAAACCTGGTTGGAAAACACACACAAAACTCACCCAACTGATACACAAATAATTATTCTAACATACATAAATTTAATAATTATTCTAACAGTTAGAAATTTGTGTAAGTTTATATTATAATTAAAGCAATAAGGAGCCAATTCTATATAATCTCGAATATTTAGATTATCTATGTAGCATCAGGAACATTTTTATTTACTCTTATATCATATCTTCATATATTGTTGAATTTTTTGAAGTTTTTAATTTGTCTTTAGATGAATCTTAACTATAGCGTCTTTTTCAATGATGACGACCAAGAAGAGGTTAAATGTTTGAAATTAATTAAATCCTATTTTTACTTTTGAGATTGTAGATTGAAAAATTAGATCAGTTTTGTATCGGCAACTATATGTTCATATTGTTATATTTGTCTAACCTTTTTATAGATGATTTTAAATATATATAAATCTTGATTGTGAAACTAAATAATTCATAATGATGTTCAGACACGCATTTGTGTTGTAGTGTCCTACATTTTGGAGATTATAGTATCATAGTGTTGATATCTGTGTTTGTGTTACATGGTCTATGATTGGAGCCTATTGAATACCTTGCTTAAGCCGTGGCTTGAGCTGGTTTGAAAAGGAAATATAAATCTCTTAAGCGTGTAAGCCAGGTTTTATGCCAGCCACGACCTGCATGTTGTATGATGGCCAGAAACCTGAGAACAATCTGAAACAGATTAAAGAGGTTAAACTTGTTCTCTTGTCTTCTATATTATTTTCTAATAAACTAACGGTACAGTATTACTTGGTTTAGGACTATGTAGTAATTTCTCAACCAAACAGGGTGGAGGGAAGCTGCTGGGGCGATAGCAAAGGTAGTTCATTTGTTTTGGGGCTTATTCCTCCATTGCACTGTAAATGGGTTTGTGGTTTTATGGACTCTCCAGTTGATTTCTTTGTTTCTGTGCGTGCCTTTTTTTTTCTTTTCATGCTAACTCGTGCTATATGTTATTTTGATAACTCAAGTAGCAATTGTAGAATTTTTGTTCTGAACTGATATGCCAAATTTCCTTTAATAATTTTTCAATGAAAAACGTAACCAGCCTTTTTGCAAAGGAAACAATATTGTTGCTTCTCATTTTGTGCCTTGGAAAGTGGTTTATCCTGTCAAAATCATCAATATTTTGGTTATCCGTGAGATTTGGTTTAAAAGATTCAGCACAGCCGAGCCCCACCCCCAGCCCAAGCCCAGCCTCAGCCCCAGCCCAGCTCCAGCCCAGCCCCAGCCTAGCCCCACCACAGCCCCAGCCCAGCCCCAGCTCCCAAATTTGATTTGGAATGATGGGTTTGAGGGAGATTTCAACCCATCCTCTTGTGATTTAAGTTGCACTTTTATAGTTGGGTTGCCTTTTACTGTGGATAAATTCAGTTTCTGTCAAGAGTTGATTTCGTTTCATTGCCACAGTGTATGCTCTGATTAGTAAATTATAATGGCAAACCACTAGTTACAAACCATCTTTATTGATAATGGACAGGGAGCAAATATCTCTCCTCATACAAAACCATGTAACCCAGTAGGGTCACGAATGAATAGATTGAACACCCTTCAACCTAAGGAGACTCAATAATAGTGAAAGATTGAAAAAAAAGGACAATTGCCGAACAAGCAAAAAAATAACAAATGGCAAATAACTGATTATAGGATCAGTATGTTGTGAAAGTTGAGACATAAGTTGCTGCCAAAATAAGTATCAGAGGAATTGATAACTTGATGGAATTCCCGGCGGAAGAGCCGTCATCAGTTGTGGGTAGGGTTTTGGATCCGCCTCCTACAAGTGAATGTCAACATGAATGGTTACCAACGACAAGGGGCAAATTGGGTAATGACACCGTGAAGCATCAACCTAAATACTTTCTAAAAATGTGGAGAAGTAACATTCAATACCTGATGGAACAGAATTTGGAGATTCAGCTACTGCTCCTGTTGGTGGTGAAGCAGCTCCTGTAATGAACAAAACATGTCAAGTTAGCAGAAGAATTTCGATCAAAATAAATTATGGTTATCTTATTGTTTTATAGTTCTTATTTTGTTCTATTCATTGCCTCCATACACCATACTCAGGTTTGATACACGTTTAACTAGAGAATCCTCTTTTTTTCTTGTATTCTATAAAATAGGAGTTGTTGTTCTACTTACCATTGTTACACTGACTGGTGGGTGGTGTCTGCACCTGGCAAGCACGTGGCAAGGCCAGAGCTTGAGTTTGGTTGATGTTGATCCCCAATGATGATCCACCACCACTAAGAACCTGGCAAAGGCATTGTGGTTGTGAGCGAACCACACTGGAAAGCTGTGAGCAGCATCCTTGGGATGGAGTTGAAGAATTCCCAGTGATATAATTGAGACACGGTGACAGGCTCACTAACACATTTGTGCAACTCGTTTGAGCTGCAGCTCCTGCACACAGCATGGCAATCACCACCAAAACCAAACCCGTATCCATTGTTGTGTGAGCCATTTGAATTGTTTGATGCAATTACTTTGTTGTGGTATGTGATATTGTGGATGAGGATGGTTTTGGAAGAACGAAGCATGGGTTTTTGTAGGGAAAAGGGTGAAGAAAATGACAATGGTAAGGTGATGTGGGTGAACCACCCCTCCTACTCGTTCCAACGCTACCTGTTTGGTATTTGGTGGCGGCATTATATTTTGTTAGGTATTCAAACTTTTGGATTTTTATGCGTTAGTGCTAATTTCTAAAGACAGTTCGGTTAAACAGATGACCGACTAAAGCATCTGAGGGTACCCTCTATAATCTCTTTATGTTTACAAAGCTGTAGACTTTGAAAACACTACCAATCAAGAAAGCACCACGTGCACGCACTTTTTATTTTCACTTTTCTCACTTTTTTCTTGCTTATTATTTCCTTTAACCACAAAAGTTCATATAAAATGTACATACAAAATGGCGTTGCCAAATATGTTGCTCAAAAGTTTAGGCCTTTTTCTTATGTAAGCAATAATAATATATTGAAAATCGTACTAAATGACATTTTATAGTATGTTTTTCAAGTAGTTACGTTATATTATGTACACTTAAACGAGTTGAGTAAGTTTAATGGAAGTTGGATAAGTTATTTTTTTTAACCGACAGGAGAAAGTATGTTATAAAAAAGCATAGAAATGGCAGGAAGTAGAGATGAACTACTAGGATTCGGTTATCCAACTAAACAGCTCACCTAATAAATAAACAATGATTTGATTTGACCTTTTACATGTCATTGTAGAGATTCTAAACTTACAACATTCCAATGCTACCTACTCCAACTCTTCTCATTTTTCATTTATTGGTGATGGCAGTTGAGCTTTTAAACCGGCTACAACAAAACCTCTATTTATTTCCCCTCTCTCCATGAACTTGCTTATCCTGCACTTTCCCACTAACGAAACTGTAATTTTGAACAGCACAAACCCCAAAACACCAAAAGAATGGAGCGTTTTGTGTGCCTAACTTTAGTATTAGCCATGGTGATGATAGCTGCACCAGCCAAAGCTCAGGTCACCACGCCATGCAGCGCATCAATGATAAACAGTGTGTTCAACCCTTGTATGAATTTCCTCACAAATAGTAGTGCCAATGGCACTTCACCTACTTCTGAGTGCTGCAATTCCATCAAGTCCCTCACAAGTACTGGCATGGACTGTTTGTGTCTCATTGTCACCGGCAATGTCCCCTTTAGAATACCAATCAACCGAACCTTGGCCATCTCTCTTCCTCGTGCTTGCAACATGCCTCGTCTTCCACTTCAGTGCAAAAGTATGTATATTCATTGAATGACGATACTATGACTTGCTTTTACGTTCATTTGACACAGAATACAAAGATAAAATGTTATAAATTTTTGTATTTTAAAAAAAAAGAGAAAAAAAAAATAAAAATAGAGTGAAATGAATGTAAAAATTTAGTTGTGTCAAAAAATATTTTTCATATTCATTTTCATTCTCTTAATCTCTTTATCCATGAAGCTAAGACGATTTTTTTGGTTATTTTTCAGCCTCAGGTTCACCACTTTCAGCTCCAGGTAGTATCATTTTCCTAAATCTTACTATATTAAGCATAGGAGTTTAATCTTTCCATTTTAACCAATGCTTTGAGTGGCTTTTATTTATATTTGCAGGACCATCTCTTTCTCCTTCTCTTAGTCCTCAAGGTAAAAGAATATGATGCAGTTTATGATCAATAGCTTCTGAAGTTTGATTGAGTCTAATGTCAGCATTTTCTTTTTGGTTGAACAGCTTCCGTCATACTTCCCTCACCTTCCTTGGCACCAGTGTCTGACACAAACCCTCCTTTGACTCCATCATCTCCAACTACTGGAAGTGGACGCTCTGATCTCACTCCATCTTCTGCTGTTTCATCTAACCGCTTCCTACCTTCAGCTGTATTAATTGCATTAGGATTTGCTGTTCTTTAAGCACTACTAGGTTGTTGCGTTCGATTTTTATTAGATTGTTGCAGACCCACATTGGGAGAGTATTTACCAAATGAAAAGCATTTCATGTTTGTTTTGTAATGTATATGAATGCATGGATAACAAATTACTGTTACTTCATCCATTCGAGAATTTTATTACATCTAATGAACCAACAGTTCCATCCGTTAATCCAACACAGGACTACGTCAATTTTGTGAAAATATTAAAAGCCTTGCCTTATAAATTAGAAGTCGCAACTGTAACGCTCCGATAACTTACAGGGGATATTGACTGCTCCTACACATCACCAAGGTTAAGCACGCTTAACCATGGAATTTTTATGGGTTAGGCTACCGAAAAACAAATGCATTTGGTGATATGAGTAGCCAAATCAGTCTCTTTAAGCTATTATTCAACTGTATAGTCTCATACCTATACAGTCTCTAGATCCCTCTCATTCGGGTGTATGTTCGATTCATTCATGTATCCCTTTCACTGGAAGCCTATCAGGAGCCGTTCCTTGTCAGTGTTCCTTGCACTTTGTGTCTCTTGCACCGGTGATCACTTCCCACCCTCGTCAGTTCTCGGATGTCACAGCAACTATTAAATTCCAAAGACATTGTCACCTTAAGGTGTAGTTGGTTTTTGACATTTATATTATTCTTCCCAAATCCAGTTGTTAAAGGGGCAGATAGAGGGTGTAGAAAACATTTCCAACTCCCATGCCTATGCAATTGCAAATACCTCAATCATTAGAACCGTAACAATGATTTATCTTGTGTTCCTCAGCAATCCAATTTTCTTAAAATGAACATTTGACTTTGTTAGGTGTTTACCAATTTATTGATTCCACACTAATTTAATTAAAAAAAATGAGGTTTTTTTCTTTTTGCGCTTCTAGTTCATTAATTTACACTATAAAAAATTTTAAAATTATCAATAAATTTTATTTTGACAAATAAATGTCAATAAATTTGAATTATCGACAAATTTTACGTTGAATTTATTAACTGACAAAAATATTTGTAGCTAAAATCCATTGATAATGTATATTATATTTATCGACAGAAAAATTCATTAATAACAATCGAAAATGCATATTTTACTTACTGACGAAAAAAATTGTCAGCAATGTATATTATACTTGCCGAAGAAAAAATTTGTCAATAATATATATTTTACTTAACAATAAAAAATTTGTTGGTAAAAGGAGCAAAAATTTTCCTGTATGTTTGCAAGACATACACGTATTTATTTTTCTTTCAACTAGAATGTGTTATCCTTTCATACTTTCCTATCTCATCTCAGATCATTGTAGCTACAAATTAAGACTTTATTCATCTTCGTTCAACAAGGCTACCATTCCATTTAGCCATGTCGTCTCTATCTTTGTGTGGTCAAATCGTTTGTATTCTTCTTCTTTCATGAAATAATGCAATCAAGCACTACTAAAACACTCAAAAAAGGATTCAATATTTGTAAGTGAATAAGAACACAAGATATATAAAAAAAATAAAAGTGAATATATAAGATTAAGTGAATAATCTTTCTCATGATAAATTATATTTATAATGAGAAGTGGATAAAAAATATATAATTGTAATTGATTGAGTTAATTGGCCAAATATTCACTATTTAATCCATTATTTTTATACATGTGGATCACTTCTTATATTCGATGGTATTTGTAGTGTACTATATTCATAAGAATATTTATTTTGGTGTAATTTATTGTTGTGTTATAATTATATTTATTAGGTAAATTCACAAGAATATTTATCATAATTATTTTCCGTTCTTTTGATATTAGGATGTATTGATGACAACAGAAAATATTTAAGGGTGAAAGAGACGTGAATGTGCAACATTGAGTTGAAGTGGTAAATGAAAGCAGAAGTGGTATCGATGGTGATGAATAATGCAGCAGCGTCAGCGTTGGTGCTGGTGGTGTTGGTGAGCTCCGCAGCGGCAGCGGCGGCGGCGATGGCGGAGGGATGCAGGGAGGATCTAATAGCGTTTTCAGGATGTCTGGCATACGTGTCGTATCCGCCGAATAACCTGACAGAAAGTCCTTCGGAGAAGTGCTGCATGGCGTTCTCAAGGGCGGTAGAATCGGTTTGCCTCTGCTACGTTGTCGGCGACCCTCTGATCCTTGGCTTCCCTCTCAACACGACAAGACTCTTCTCCCTCTCTTCCCTTTGTCCGTCTCCATTCTCAACCTCTTTTCCCTCTCTTTGCCCTTCAAGTACTTTCTTTCTTCTTTCTTTCTTTCTCTTTCTCTTTCTTTCTTCACAATCCCACGTTAACTTCTTTGCATGCCATTCTTCTTCCTTTTCTTTCACAGATTCTTCTGCTCTGCCTCCTCTCACCACCGCATCGAATCAAACTGGGGGAACTTCTGTCAGTGAGTCTTTCATTTTCTTCTGTTGTTAACTGCTTTCAAAGACATGATATATCTAAACAAGAACCACGTCGTTATTATTATTATCTTTAACAATATTCATGTAGGAGCAGGAGGAAGAGGAGGAGGAGGGGGAGGTGGAGGGGGAGGAAGAGGGGGAGGAAGGGGAAAGTCAGGGTCCGGCGATGAAGGAGAATCTTCTGGGAGAAGTTCACCAGTTTTAAACGGTGGAGCAGGAACGGTTTCTCGTAGTCACTCTTCTTCTTCAACCCTCATTCCACTCTTCACTTTCTCAGTATTCTTGGCCATCTTCTCTACACTCCACAACACGTGACCTTTTCTAACTCTCATCGTTGTTTTCAAGATCATAGGATAAATTGTTGAATAATATTCTCCATGTTGCTACAGTCCAATTTCAATACAGAATGTTCTTGTTATTCATGCATGCAATATTATAACTCTTTCCACCCTTCACAGATCTTGTTTCTAATCCCAATTTCGTTTGCATGCATGTTTTTCTTTGTTTATTACATGAATTTCACGTTTGAGACTTTGGTTTATTAACGAAAATGGTGTAACTTTGTTGAGATTTTATGGAAATGGATAGATCATGAAAAAGTTACGTACACATATATATATATATATATATATATATATATATATATATTAGTTAGTATGACTTTAAAATGAAGGAGCCATCGTCTTCCCCAGCACGACTTTATTTGTTTTATATGAAGTCACTTTCGAATCACAACTTCAGTTATTTGTGATTTTTTTTTCACTTTTTTTTTTAATTTTTGAATTCTCGTTAGGGTGTACTCATCCATGTTCATATATTTTTTTTTCATGATTTATCAGATTTCACACCGTTTTTGTAAATAAAAATCAGATTTCAGATAACTGGTCAATCCCCAAGTGTGTTCAAGGGCTATATTATTCTGTTTCCTCTTTATTATTTCAACTGCTACAGGTACTCCACATATTCATGCAGAGTAATTTTAACATAAATTCATCCAAACAAAACCCTTTATTATTTCATTTTCTTTATCCAGTGTCGGCCAAACACCAGATTAAGATCGCAGAAACCCTTTTCTGGTGATAAACTCATTGAGAAAACCAAGTTCCAGCAGCATCACCTAAAAGCTGAACTTGCACAAAACCAGGGGGAATTCAGAATCTGGTATCTAACAGAACGTAAGAATATAAACAGAAAAAATGGAATATAGACATTAAAATATAAAGTCCAAGTAGTCCGACGTGCTGGATTAATTACTTCTCCAGCCATCAGACCACTCAGCTTCATCATTAACAGGTTTAGGGAGCCCTATCTGGGAAGAATCTTGACCCCATTCTGCATTGTTTGATGAATCTTGACCCCATTCTTCGTTATTTGAGGGCCACGCATTATCTTCAGTCGAGTATGGGTTCTCTTCAGCGTCTTCATCGTCATAAGGTTCCACCCTCTCAGGAAGAGAACAACCCTGGTAAGATGAATTGTCCACACAGTACCACAACATTTGGCTCCAATAGTCATCCTGCCAAATGATAATGAAGAAAAATTATTCATTGTTTTAATATTTTGTAACCATAATTATCCTGCTAAAGAGATAAACTGAACAATTAATGAAGTGAATGATGGAAGTAGAAGTACCACATAAGTCGTTTTTTTACTCACTTAACTTTTTGGCTATATTAGAGAGCTTTGGTAGTTGGGTTCCTTTGGGATCATTCAATTTTTTTCTTCTTATGGATAATTAAGAGTCACAATTTGTTGGGTGAAAGGAAATTACCTTGCAGATTATATGCGGATTCCCAATTATAACCAGCAATGATATAGCACGAGTTATAGCCACGTTAAACCTTCTATAATTGCTCAAAAAGCCAAGACAGTGGACTCTGTCAAACTCGTTATGTTTGATAGTTGATCGAACTGTTGATATGATAATAACCTCCATCTCTTGTCCTTGGAATTGCTCGACACTACCCACTTTGATGTCAGGCATATCTAGATTTTCAAGTGTCTGTTTTATTTTTGACACTTGTTGCCTATATGGAGTTATTATGCCAATGTTTTTCTCCTTTATGTTCCCTCCTGCAATCAGTCTACTGACAAGTTCTATAACCTTACTGACTTCAATGCGGTTAAACCACGATGGGTTATTTCCTTCTCTTTCATCGCATCCTTGGATGCCATAGAAAAGAATAGGAAATTCCTTGTTAGGTAGCAACTCTCCCATCGTCAGGAAAGTTGTGGAATCTCTACAAGCAAGCAATTCCCCACAATAGAACAACTTTGAAGGAAGATGCAATATTGCTGGGTGGCATCGATAGTTCCGAATCAATCGTGTTACATAATTAGTATCTCCACTGGCATATAGCGGGAGTTGAGACAATCGTTCCATATATGAAACCCCCAAACCAAACTCATCTGCTTTCTTGGAATATATTACTGGACCCAATTGCAATTGGTCTCCAGCCAGAACAACAACAGTTTTCATTGTGCAGAGGTGGGATACAGGGATCAAGGTTTCAGGTTCAGAAGCTTGGCCAGCCTCGTCCAAAAAAATATGGGAAAAGTGACCACGGGCAAGATCTTCAGCATAAAGAAGAGACGCACTCATATATGTGGATATTATGATCTTATAATAACTGAGGGCGTTCACTGGGGGACACTTAAATACCATATCATCAAAGAAGCAGAAGCGGATAATTTCAGGTTTAACATCTTCGTATGGCCTAGTAGATGCATTGAGCCTGAATATTTCATTTTCTCGCAACTCAATGTCCTGTTGAGTAAGGAGTCTCTCCAGTATGTAGTCTGCTGCACTATTTGAGGGTGCACACACAAGAATCCGAGCATTCTTGTGATATTTGTAGAGCTGCAGGATTACTTCTACTATTGTCCTTGTCTTTCCCGTACCAGGGGGTCCATGAATCAAATAAGGTGGTGCACCTTTGCAACCAAGAATCATTTTGATTGAACAAATTTGCTCCTCGTTAAAAGTACCAGATATGGGTACTAGAGCAGTAGTTTTAATGTGTCTCTTTATTGATGCAGATGGAAAGAGGATGTCGGTACCCAAGTTTTGTGTTGCCTCAGCTGCTTGATATAGCCTTCTCATATTGATCCTGTTATAGGTGAAGTGAACATCATATGTATTTTCGTCCTTGTGGTAAAAGTGAAATTCAGGATCAAACTTCAAATAAATTTCATCAGCTTCAACTCGGTGGATAAAGCCCTGGAGAAATTCACATACAATTTTATAGAGAGAAGAGTGTTAACTGTAAATGATAAATACATTTGTAGAATAATGGAAAGTAAATTTGATAATTATATATTTAGGACTGAAAAATAAAAGATGTACAAAATTAATGAATAACAGAATTCCCCTATTTAGACAAAGTTGCTTGTATACAAATAATTGAATTCTGGGAAATGATTGATTAATTTTTAAAATATTATCTCATTAAGCTGCCAAATGTAATGCAATCATTTCCTCAAAATAAACAGCACGTTAGATTTCTCCAAAGATCATACACATGGTTATAGAAATCGTTTCACAATTATAATCATGCAAATCAATACAACATCTTGTCCTCGTTGCTGAACTTGTCTTCATTCGATTGGATATTGCAATTCATATACTGCATTTTCTGCAGACTATTATGTCTAGGTCGTGCCGTCAAGTCAAAAAAAAGTCCCTATCTGTTTCTTCTTTCTTTTATCAAGCTTTTATTTTATTTTTCTAAATTGTTTCAATGTTCATACACATGAAAATAAACAGTTTGCTTCCCATTCCATCCCCCACAATTGGATCCCAGAAGACTCGCATGGGTGCAAGAGAAAAAAGGATAGACATGTCAAATCTATTAGACAAAGTGATCACTTTTTTTATTCAACAATTTCGTAATAATATCTGGCTTTAATTTTATTCAAGGTTTACAACCTACACTCAGGAAAATCACTGCAAGAGTGGTTTAATCTATCTTAGCTGCCCTGAAATGCAGAGATGAAATGCAAGAGTTGTGCCGTAGATAGGGAAGATGACTTATACATTACAAATATCTCCATCATACAAATATCAAAACAAATGAGATGTCATTCTATGGCCGATGATCAAGATAACACTATCAAAAAGACATGTGCTTTTATGATCTACCAGATCAGGCTCTTATCACACAAAGAAAATATACAAGGACCAAACCTGATAAGGCTGTCTGTTGCTATTATCATATGCGAGCTTAACAAATATATAATCCCCATGAACCAGAGATGGTCTTCTCTCAGCAAGCCCAGGAACCTCCATAGACAAAAATCGATTGTTCCTCTTTCTCATCGATATAGATTCCATATCATAAATCCTCATGTCTTCCTGAAAGTAGAAGTCAGAGACAATGAATTAAAAGAAACAAGATCAGTAGGTTTTTTATGACTTATAGCAACTTAAAGTATAGAAAATAAGATCACCTCCAACTGGATCTCTTCCATTATTATTAATGTTTTGAAATAAGATGAATAAGTACTTCTAGTAAGACCTTGTTCAACAACTTGAGGGATCTGATTATTCTCAAGCAACTCTCTCATGTCCCTGGGAATGTGATATTTCGGAAGCCTATTTATGTATCTTCGAGTTGGCTTCCCTGCAGGACGTGAACCTGGAACATAATTATCCACAACAAATTTGTCCTTTTTCTTTGCTCTTGAATAGGGCCTCTTAGAAGCCAACGACTTGGAGATTTTGTCTTCAACTAAGAGGAAAACCACCCTTTCAATTTTTTCATCTCCAGCATCAAAATATATGACTGATGAACACATGCCAATTTCTTTTGTCTTGCAAGACAGCCATACTTTCAAGTTTTCACGAGGTTGAAGCACCCTGTCCTCCAAAGAGAAAGATTCTAAGCAGCTCTGTTCTCCTTCTGCATTTGAATTTTCCGGTAGAGGCTCTGTAAGAGAGAGAGTGAAACTGTCCGTAGGATTTGAGGCAAAAATATGAACACTCCACAGGTCCACTGGTTCATCAGTAGTATTCCTAATGCTTATTAAATCCACAGCAGTGTCCCCCATAAGTACAGATTGAGGCTTGCCTTCCACAAATGGAAATGGGGCAGATACAACAACTGGACCTT